ACAATTCTCTTTAAAAATAATACCTCCTGCCTCAACCGTCACATCCCCTACTCCTTCTCTAAAACCTGACAACAGCACTGTACCTATATCTTTCCCCAATGACCCATCTAAGGTAACCATTATGGAGGTCAAGGATTTAAGGCAGACAGTTGCAGTAGAAACTGGGTATAAAGATGAAAAACGCCTGGTTAGAATGGATCAAGTATTCTGTCCTCACCCTAAATAAAAGTGTTGTTACACCTCTGCAACAGGGAGACTGGAGGCCCAGATACTTCCCCTTCCACATGGATGGCCTGTAGACTTTACAGGCATGCACTGTATGGTACCTCTCTTCCAGGAGACCACAGCATGGGGAAATAAACTGAGCAAAACCCTATCGTTGCTCTTCCCTGACAAGAGAGGTCTTGCGGGTCAGCCCCCGAGGACCGTGAGGCCACCAGCCTCTGACGTCAACTTCACCTCATGTCTCTCTAGACAGGAGGAGGGGCAGCGTCTCTTGGAAACACGACAGGATGTGATGAAAGCCTGGCCTTCAAGAAGCTATAGGAAGTCTGTGCTCTCCATATCCTGAGCAGATGTCTGGTGGAATTGTAAAGACAGACTGAAGTCCTACGGGAAAGCTGGGGTGGCACCTGCGAGTAGGTGCAATTGGCCATCCTTTTACCCTGGCGTTCCGTCAGCTCCCAGGTGAGGAAAGGGGACATGGGACAAAAAGAGAAATAGATGTTCTCAGAGGATCTTTTGATGCCCATATATTTATTGATGTTATTGGAGTCCCCAGAGGGGTACCAAATGAATTCAAAGCTAGAAATCAAATAGCCACTGGGTTGGAATATATATTCTTCTGGTGGTCCACTATTAATAAAAATGTAGACTGGATCAACTACGCATACAATAATCAACAAAGATTTGTAAATTCTACCAGGGATGCCATCAAAGGTATAGCTGAACAATTAGAACCTACCGGTAAAATGACCTGGGGAAATGGAACGGTTTTAGATATGATATTAGCAGGAAAAGGCGGGGTGTGCGTCGTGATTGGCGGCCAGTGCTGCCCTGACACCCCAACGGCACAGCTCTGGATGGCGCCGTCACCAGAGCTCTGCAAGGACTCGCGACCTGGGCTAAGGAGCTAGCTGAAAACTCAGGGACAGGCGACCCTTTCACTAGCCTCATGGAGCAGTGGTTTGGAAAATGGAAAGGGTTGATGATGTCAGTACTAACTTCCTTAATTACTGAATGTGATACCTTAACATTAGTGGGATGTGACATTATCTCTTGTGCTAGAAGACTAATCCAGAGATTAATAGAAACAGCCCTAACTAAACAAGCTCTCCCACCTCCATAGGAAAACAGGTCATTACTATTAGAAGACCAAAAACATCAAAATCACCTCCTTGTTACTGAATTTGAAGAAAAAAGTGAAAAAGTCTAATATAAAAGAGGAGGAAATAACCTTGCTTTGATCTTTTCTGCAAAAACGTCAGGAAGTAACGCGCTCCTCATACCTTGCTGCGCCTGGCTGGCCTGCCAACTGCAACGTCTGCTAACCTAGGAGCCCCCACCTCCTCCTCCCTCGCGTCTCAGCAACACCCCTTAGCCAGCTGGGTAAGAACAAGACTGGGCGGAAACCGGCCAGTGGATGAGACACAGCCATGGGTCTGCCTCAGGGATAGAGTTGAGGAACCCCAGTGGCGCTGGCTGCTGGGGCTGCCGCTGGGCGCCCTTCCGGCCAGCAGCCAAGGCTTGGCCTTGCTGAGACAACTCGCAGGGCCCGGCTGCTGTCTCAAGGACACCGCGGGTCATTTCTAACAAGCACACATGGTTACTTGCTGGGACTCGGAACAGGCCCTTCCTGGTGGGCGGGTGCGGAAAGGGATACGGCTATTTTGTGGGGAACAACCTGTCAAAAGTGGCTATTTCACAAAGGGGAAAGACTTCCTTTTTAATTACATATTTTCCTTATTTACTTAAAACTGGTAGGGTCTAATTATAGTATGATGCACCCATGATTCTGTCAGTAAATTTGAGCACATTTTTATTACTATTTTTTCAGGTTTACTAGCCCTTTTGCTTATTTCTATTTTTAAGATTAATTTTAAGTTCTATCTGAAATTATTAAGATGCCTGTAGAAAACTTTCAATGTAAAGAGGTGAATATTCCTTTTCTAGGGGACCTCATATCTCTGGCTAAATATTTACCCTCTTGTTATAGTTTGTAAGTCAGTTATTTTATTAGAGTTTAGTTTTAGTAAAATAAAAAATCTTGTAAAAATTTTCAATAGTCATTGGAATGTTTAAAGAAATCCTGTTGTAGTGGCAACATGTCAGTCTTTAGGATTCTTAAATACCCTAGTGTTTCAAATTGAAGCCATGCTCGAAAAATTTATGGCATAGGAGTTCTGCTATTTTTAAATGTCTTTCTTTACTCTGAAAACAAACAAACAAATGAAATACCACAATGCTTTCATCTTTGCACTCTAGCAGCCTGGAGAGCCAACTAAAACACACTTCGCAGATTAAATTTTAATGAAATAGACCTTTAATGAATACAAAAAAGCCCTTTAGGTTTTTTTTCTCCACTCTATCAAATCTTACTGGAAAAGTTTTCAGAAATCAAACTAAGGCCCCTCCAGGACTCAACACCCCTTGGGATCCACTAGTGAGGTGTTCTTGGCATGAGGCACCTGGTTGAGGTCAGCACGTTGTGGGGGTGGGCTGAGGGTGCTGGCAGAAGCAGTTGCTGTGCCCATGCAAAGTCTATGCTGGTTGTAGACCCCTAGGATTTCAATCACAAAATGTACTGAAACTGACTTTTTATTTGATATTAAGAAATTATTTATATTTTATTAAGTATGATAGCAATATTTTCATTCTTTTTTATTTATTAGATATAGTTACCAAAATACCTACAAACTAAATAATGTGGTCTGTTATATTTACTTTAGAATGCCAATAGGATGACTGAAGTTGGTCCTTGAAAATGATGGCAAAATAATGAAAATTTTGGAATCTTTTTGATTGGTACTACTTGTGATGAATTTTATTACATAATTATGTCTACTATTGTGCAAGATGTTTGCATTTCTATCATACTGTTAAAGTATATACACATTTTTATAAAAATGTCTAAAGTAATGTTCATCATCTCCATTCTATATGGAATAAAAAGGGAAACATCATCCTATACATCATAGTAGTGGATTTTGAGGTTCATCATCAGATCTGGGTGTGATAATTGCAGGTGAATGAGTAGAGGACAGTGAAACATTAGAATTGGGAGGAAAACAATCTATTTGTTTCTCCAAGAAGGGTCAGTGATGCTACCAAAAATCTTTGTGCAAGACTGTATCTGTGGGTGTTACAGAGAAATGTCATTCTTACCTAATGACACCCTTGCATTTTTCTAACAATATGTGAAATAGAGCAGTGTGTCATCTATAAGTTAAAGTGGAAAGGACCCTGGCCTGAGAGCATGTGCTCTGTGGTCACAGGCCCATCAAGTTGTCCCCTGCCTGATATACCATGCCCATGACCAGGTGCTGAAGTCCTGCTCAGGTACAGGGCAGAGGCCCACCAGCCCCTTATCAACCACTGATCATGGGCTCCATGGTCCTGGTTCCCTGGCCCAGTTCTGAGCTCTGTGATGCTTTGTGCTGACCAGAGAACTGGTGTTGTACCAATCAATGCTCTTGTTGGAGCCTCAAGTCCTGGTGGTTGGTTCAGTATGTAAGGGCCACTTATCCCTGGAGGCCCCTGATGTACTTATTGGACCTCAGGCACTTCTCAGAAGCCTGGATCTCACAGTAAACCTGCCCAGTTATGGCAATCATGTTTTAAGCATATATGCCATGCTTTGTAGTGTATTTGCAGAATTATGTAACTACAGTCTTGGAGTTCATTCATCCTGGGGCCCCATCATTCTTTGTTCGGTGTGTGATTTCTGGAAGGGGGATGAACGCCCCCCAAGCCGCAGGTAAGTGGTATCCTACACGTAGGCACTTCCTGCTTGCAGGACCGTGCTCTCTGAGGGCACCATCTCCCTGATTTTGGGGGCCCGAAAAGAGATGATGGTGGTGGGGGAGGTATTCCATTGCCTCTAAAATAAAGGCATGGTTCAAGCTCATCAACTGTCTGAGGTCAGGGGAGTCAGAGCCCTCATAGCTGCACTTCAACATGGCAGCCACTGGCCTTAAGGGGCTACTGAGTCCCTGCAACGTGGCTGGTCTGAACTGAGATGTGCAACATTCTTAAAGCACAGAATAAGTTTTAAAGATACAGTACCAAAGAATACTTCATTAATAATTTTACACTGATCAAATAGAAAAACAATAATATTTTGGATATATTTTAGGCTGAACTATTACAATCTATTTTACTTGTTTCTTTTCTTCCCTTTTATGTGGCTACTAGAAAATTTTAAATAACACATGTGCTCACATTTTATTTCTATTGGACACTGTTGCCTTAGAGGAGTGCCACCATTTTCAAAGCTCAGGCTGCCTCCTCAAAACACCAGAGGCCAGGAAGGTTACAAAGTCTCAAACTTAAAAATAATTATTATGTTATTTCCATTTGTGCTTGACATATATAATATAAAAGTATATAATTTATATTCAAAGTTAAATACAAATGGCCTCCAAGCAGGGCCAGGTCCCAAAGCAGGGGCAAAGCCCTGTCTAAAGAGAGCTACCGCCAAAAACCGGTTACTCTGGTGGCATTCGACCCTCAGCCCGATCCTGACTCCTGTCACTCATGGCCAGATGGGGTGGGGCCTAGAGCCTTATCCAATCAGGGATGCTGCGGTGAGGACTGTCCAATCAGGTACTCAGCCAGAGGGAAGGAGGCGGCTTCCGGGATGTGGCGCGGCCTTTGTCTCGCGTCGGCACCTAGCTGGGGTCCCTTCTCCGCCGTCGCCTCTCCGGGGCCGCCAGGTGTCTCCGCAGCCTCTGTCACCTTGTGACCTGCATGGACTGGGAGATTCATTCTGGGAGATTCACTGGGAGGACACAGGGAGCCCTGGAGGCTGGGAAACGGTGAGTGCGCAGCCCGGCGTCCCCAGAGGGCTGTTTTTTTTTTGAGACAGAGTCTCACTTTGTTGCCCAGGCTAGAGTGAGTGCCATGGCGTCAGCCTGGCTCACAGCAACCTCAATCTCCTGGGCTCGAGTGATCCTCCTGCCTCAGCCTCCCGAGTAGCTGGGACTACAGGCATGCGCCACCATGCCCGGATAATTTTTTCCATCTATATTAGTTGGCCAATTAGTTTCTTTCTATTTATAGTAGAGACGGGGTCTCGCTCTTGCTCAGGCTGGTTTCGAACTCCTGACCTTGAGCAATCCGCCCGCCTTGGCCTCCCAGAGTGCTAGGATCACAGGCGTGAGCCACCGCGCCCGGCTGAGGGGCGGCTTCTGCCGGCCGGAAGCGGATCGGGGCTCTGGGCCAGCTGGGAGGGCGCAGAAGGAAGTTGGCACACCTTGCCCTCGGGCCTCCGGTCGCGGGATGAGGCTGAGCCGGCCGGTGGGGCCCGCCGCGTCCTGCCCGGCCCCGCCCCGCGTGTTGCTTAGCCCCCAGCCAGCGGCTCTGCGCCCACAGCCCGCGCCCGCAGCCCGCGCCCACTGCCCACTGCCCGCGCCAGCAGCCCGCGCCCACTGCCCACAGCCCGCGGCCACTGCCCACAGCCAGCGCCCACTGCCTGCGCCCGCCGTGCTGTGGTGGGAGGGCCGCGGGCAGGGCCTCACCCGCTGGGTGCGCGCGTGGGAGGAACCGGTGTGGTGAGGTCCCCGCCGCTCCATTCTGCTGCTAGAAATTTGAGGGGTGGAGACATTGCCTACCTGCAAGGCCCACACCCCAGTGAAGCCGGAACTAACATCCGGCTTCTGGAAACTGTTGCTTGCTTGCCATGGAAACCGTTGCTTGCTTGCTTGCTTGCTTGATTGCGCCAACTTTGCATTGTTCCAACCCCTGTATAGTGGGGCTACCAGCCAACCAGTCATGTTAAAGGTCAGTACATGATCCACGCATGATCAGCCACTGCATAGCGTATGCACCATAGGGATAAAAGGCATGCTGCAACCCCCGTTGGGGTCCTTGCCTGCAAGAGTGGCCACTGCATTGGTGCTCTAGGGTTTGGACCCTGGCTAGCCAGAAAATAAACTCCTCTTGAGTGTTTGCATCCTGGGTATCTCTGTCTCTCTGTTGGGTGGGGTGGTGAGAGGTAGTCGACTCCCAACAAAATTAAACTGGGAAGGGTAGACACTTAAGAGAGTTTGTCTGAGCAAATGGTGGTTTGTGGATCTGGAAGTCCCCAACAGTGGTCTGCGGTCTTGGAGCTCCGGGACGGGCTTGAAGAATGGGCAGTTGTAGGGCGCATGAGGAAGCTGACCTAATTCAATATTGGTTGCAGTTATGTAGTCGCCTTATTTGGACTATCCAGGTGGCCAATTTCTGGTTATGTAAGCAGAGCTTTCTTGGCAGTTTGTAGTCATTTGCCTAAGTTTTGGTTTCTTCTAAATTGTAATTTACAGGAAATGCATTTGAGTTAGAGGTGAGTTTTCTTAAGTAGGAACGGAGGGCTACAGCCACTTCAGTCTGATTGCTCCGTATTTAATTATTTTAACACTCCCCAGGGATACTGGTTTTCTTTGTCTTTTCCAAATGTACGACAAGCAGGGAAGATCTCAAATCCAAGACACAAATCCAGTTTGCCCATCCTAACTGTTCCAGAGACTGTTGGAAATCCTAAATTTCGAGTTCCTTCTCCCACATTTCTGAATGCCTAATACTGCTTTCCAACTCATAACATTATCAACTGTTCATTATTTATTTTTCAAACAGACATAGTATTTTATTTTATTTTATTTTATTTTTTTTTTTTTCGCAAGAATAAGGACTTGCAAAGACATAGTATTTTAATTGCACATCATTTTTTCACAGACCTGTGAGTGGCTTTTTAGAACATATTTGTTTTCTGTTTCTGAACATTTTATGTGAGAGGAAAGCAGAGAATAATCACTTGATACTCCCCTGTAAAAACATCTTCCCTAGGCACACACGTCTTACTAGAATGTTCTTACATTGAGGTTCCCCTTTGGAGACTTTACAGAGTGGTGTGTCTTTAGCTGCCTTCTGTCTTTTCCTGGTCCTGGTTTCACAAGTGTCTGGGGAAGATGCCCACAGCAGCCATGTCTCTTGGGGTTTCTAGTGACTATTAGTCCTGGATCCTCTCTCAGAGGACAGCCTGAGGTGTTGGGTGGCACCTGTCTGGGGGGCAGCTGGATGTCTTGGTGCTGAGAGGAGTCTCCTGTTATACCCTCATCTGAAAAGCTAACTCCTTGGGACATTAAGTTTTTCTCTCCCCAACCTGAGCTTCCATTTATTGGAGACACATTGATGCTCAGCATACTGGTATTGACAGGAAAGGGCAGAAGTGACATTTTGTTCTCTGGATTTTTTTACACTTGTGAAGGGAAGATAAAGTATCCAAAAGGAAAAGGAAAACCCACCCCAAAGAGAGTGCAAAAACTTGCAAAACAGTTTGCATTTCAGGCACACGGGCATAGATCACTGTCTCCTGTGATGTGGTCATTGAGTCCTCTAGTGAGCAGGATTGGGCTGGGAGAATGTCCCAAGTGATAGGATGGCCTGACTTGACCCTTGAGCCACACAAGTCTGTGTTGCTATTAGCACCATCCCTCCCTGCATTTATCACTAAAAAGATTTATTCATTAACTGTAAAAGGTATTTTATCAATAAAACTTAAAAGATAATAAAATATTTTCAGTGAGGCATGAAAGGTGGCTTTCAGGAAAAAAAGAAGAATCTAGTCTCATGTTCCATTTGTAGAAAATTCCTGTTTACCATTTTTCTCCTCCAAAGATAGTGTTGTAAGGTTCTGAGGTTTCTTTGATTTCAAACAGTATACGAGGTTTTAACTTTGGGAATGCTGCCAGGGAGAAGAAATAGGGATAATGTCTCTACCATCATGGCTGCAGAAAAATGAATATATTTCCACAAGAAAGTGTGGTAGATATATTGGTGAATTACAAATAGACACCAAAACATCAGATCTTCTCTTATGCAAGGGGGATAGTTTCTGATAGTGCATGACTCTGTTTTGTATCCTGTGATCTGGACGTCGGTGTTTTTAGCTACATTTTAGGAAATAGGACTTGTCAGTTACTAAAAGTGTTCACAAATGCATAATTGTTTAGTAAATCATTTGTTATTGAAATCATAATTAAATGACATGTTTATTATCAGAAGGGGATTTATCCTTTCGCTTTATTTATACTTTTGCTCTTCCTGTTGAGATGTGAAATGTAAGTGTCCTATAATTTTCTTCCATCCTATAAACATAAGCACTGAGTTTGAGTGATTTTGCTAGATTTTTCAAACACTGGCTGTTTTCTGATTTAAAACTAAGTTAATAACCTTGATTGGGAAGCAGGGACCTGGGCTCAGAGACTCCAAGTAAAGATCAATCCTGATCTAGCAAAACAAGATCATTGAAGGCATAGTTAGTTCTTCCTGGGGAGCCTTCCTCCAGGTGCCCCAGTCTGTTTACACCAGCCGGGAAAGGAGCCCTTACACTGAGAGAAGCTTCAGAGCCCTGGAAAGCTGGGGGCCCACAGGAGCTGAGGCTGGGGTTTGAATGAAAGTGGGGGTGTGATGCCATTTCTGATGGTGTATGATGGTGTTATTGTCCCTAGGCTGATTCTAGACACCTCCAAATAAAATACATTCAAATTTAGCTTAACAGTAACTTTATTCTAAGAGAATATTGCAATAGAGTAAAAGCACCAAGTTTAAAATCTGCAAACATCTCAAAGGTTAGGAAGCCAAGGGCTTCTTTCCATAGGGAAGAACAAACAGATTAGAAAGTATGTAGGAAGGGGAGGGCATGGTGGGAGGTGGCAAAATTAGATCCTAGATAAGAAAATGATTCATGCTGAAGTGAGCCTGTTTTTAGGAGAGGCAGAAAGAGGAGTATGTTTGCTTAGGCTGTGTGTGGGCCAAAGTTCAGGGGCCTGGAAGAAGGAGAGAAATTTAGGAAAGTTTGGTTAAGAAGTATATTGTTCTGACCACTGAAGATAAAATTGTTCAACTAATTGTTTAAGAGGCAAAATGTGAATTTTCAGAGTCTGTGTCTGGCTTAGTGGTAGGTGAAAACAACTGCATCATCTAAGTCATAATCGGAAAAGTCTTTGTCTGCAGGTGGCTGCTCTTCTCGGAGATACAGGATGTGAGATTTCCTTACTCACAGGGATTTGCCAGGATATCTACCCATCTTTCCCTGCTACTTTCCCTTGCCCTGTACATCTTTTTTACTTGGTTGTTCCTGAGCTGTCTCCTACTTCTGTGAGTAATTCTGTGAAATTATTAGACTTGAGGAGAGGCTGTGGGAGCCCCTGATTTATAGGCAGTTGCTCAGAGTATAGTCGGACCCCAGGGCTTGCCGCCGGCATCTGCAGTGGGGGCAGTGATGTGGTACTGAGCCCTGTACTTGTGGGGTCTGAACTGACTCTGGCTGGTGTCAGAATTAGACTGTTGGATACCCAGGTAGTGTTGGAGAATTGGCTGGTGTACAGCAAACTCCATACATTGTGCTGTCAGAAAAAAAAATACAGGTCAGACCTTGAAATGACTCTGGGCGAGTGTTTGGTTGGTGGTGAGAATTGTGACCTGGAGGAGGGAGTGCTTCCAGATCGAGTAGGAGACAGGATGGATGGAGGTCCCAGAATTCAGTTTCCCAGCTGTTCAGGTTTCCGGCACTTTCTACCTAGGAGTAAGACACCCGGGGCTACATCCCCACAGTGAGAGTGGTCCCCAAGCTTGGAAACCTGTTTAATCTACTGAGTCTGGGGTTCATTGTGAAGTGTGGGTGAATTAGGCTGCCCACTTTTAGCTGTTTCCCTTTTGTTTCTTATTTTATGATATTAGGGTAAGATTTTTGTTACTTGAAAATCTGAGTGGATTGAGTAACATGATCTCAAGAGGCAAAGAAAATTCTTGAAATAAATTTGCTTTATTCTGAGTT